TCAAAATCATAATTTAAAAGTCGTAAGGGAAGCTGACAACCATAGACTGAAACGGGAGAACGCTTGGGTTCAAAAATTCTGCGATTATTCTAACGGCTCTGGAAAGATTCAATTTTTAAATTAATTGAATTCGGAGTTGGCAAGTTATAATATCATAAATATAATCATTATTATCTATTATTACTAATTATGTAGCTGCCAGAAGAAAAAGAAAAAAAACTGCGGGTACTGCACACAAAACACTTGTCTCAAAATTTCAAATGTTTTTTTTTAAGAGTAGGTCCCTTCTCATCATTTTTCTTTTGCCCTACAATGGGTCTCATACGGGCATCAAAGTCACTGTCCTCTGGTACGGTAGAGTACGGTATGGGTGAGGATCTATGAAGGAATTTTCAGTCGCAGGTGATACATATCGACTGCACCTTTGGCGGTGGCCTAGTATAGGCTTTCCAATGGTACCAAATAAGAGATTTGCATAAATTTATCTGGACATTACCTTTAACGAGGATGTAGAATAAATTGAAACTACCGTAACCATATTGGGTCAGCAAAGAGCTCAGAATGTTGTTTATACAGTTCTCGGCGAAAATTCAAGCTGCACCGTCTCCAGCTGAGGATAAGACACCTCAGTTCTACTTTTGATTGAAAAACAGCACTTTAACATAGACAAGAGCATTCGTTGAGAGCATATGTAATCCTGATCAGATTATACATAAAACCGTGTTGTTTGTGATATGAAAGAAGGCGAAAAAAATTATTCTGCTTACGAGAGAAGTACTTTCAATGACTCTGGCCGTTTGATGTGATATGATGTCATCTAAAGAAGCTTCAAACGCTAATTTTAAACCCGCTTTCCGTTTTTGCGGAACGTTCTTCTGAAGAGAGTTATGGGAGTCTAAATATCCTGTTTTGGGGCGCTTCTTGAGTTCAAAACGCTGCTACATGCGTTGGTGGCACAATGGTGTGGTGGTTAGTTGCTGGCATTAAAGGCGAAAAGTTGACGGTCGACGGTTGACGGTTCAAATGTTCAAATCTGTTGGAGAGCGAACCATTTTGCATCTCGAGTGTGAGTTTACTAAGCACTCTAAATCGTCTGCAGACACGTACTGTGATACCTTTGGCATACGTGACCTAAGAAAAAGCTTTCTGCTTGTGTTTTGCCCACTTTATTTCTATTCACCTCTGTGCATAAATATTTTGCGGGAAAAAAACCAAACCTCAACATTTCTGGATCACGTATGCTAAAGGCATTACAGCAACTGTCTGCAGACGATTAGTGCTTACTAAACTCACGCTCAAAATGCAATGGTTCGCTCTCTCCACCAGATTTAAACCTTAACTTTTCGCCTTCAATTAGAGCAACTAACCACCACATCACTGTGCCACCAACGCACGTAGCAGCGTTCTCAAACTCAAGCAGCGCCCCAAAACAGGATATTCAGACTTCCGTAATTCTTTACAGAAGAGCGTTCCGCAAAAACGGATCACAGATTTGAAATCAGCGTTCGGAGCTGCTTCAGACGATATGCATTCTCCTTAAACGGCCACGGCCATTGGAAGTACTTCCCTCGCTAGACATCAATACCTTCTTGCATAAACAGGAAAACTTCCGACACATCTCTTTTCCGAAGAATCTTCATGATAAACATGACGGAAGTTTGGGGAGTCGCAAATCAGATTTGAGGAGAGAAATATAAAAAATCAAATGAAGACCATCATGTAGTGACACTCGCACAGTAGCGTACTCTCCTCCCTTACCGCATAATCCGCTTAACTTTACCCGACATGCTACGCGCTACCGTTCCATGGAAATTTATCTGTATCAACACATGTGATCAATGATGCATAACTGGTTATGTAGATTTGTCTGAAGCCACCTTGTTTTTTGAGTCACATGATAATTGTACGATGATGTCATATACCATATATTGAAGGGACGAAAGGAAAGGGGCAAGAAGTTTGAAAACGTTTTTAGCTTAGCGAGAAAAGCCTGCGGCTACTTGGTTTCATTTCAGTTTCGCTTTTTATGAACACATTTTAGATTGAAATCTGTTTGGAGGCACAGTTTGTGTCACGTACGTACACCCTTTCGCCTGGATCGACGCACCCGCAACGCAAAGGCATGCGTGCGGATCTTCAGTCATTGGAATTAGCTTGATTAGCCAAGCCATACACTTTACAGGCTGCATATAAAACATTTTCAAACAGAGAAAACTTGATTCGCAGTAAGTTCTCAAAGATCTTGCATGTACTCCAACAAAATTTTTTTGGGAACTCTTCCACTTCTCCGCTCAAAAAAGAGTGTTTGCAATTACTCGCTTGCAAACTTCTTTTATTCCTGTGATATGTGCCGACAGATAAAAAAAAGAATCTTAGCTCAGGGCAGTTTCCGATACAGCATAGAGAACTGAATACGGTCTTTGGACAAAAAAAACTCAAATTAATTATGGGATGGTGCATTTTTTAGAATTATGTGCATATGCTTCGATAATTTGGATAGGGTGAGCATTTTATTCTAGTTCATCCAGAAATAGTCCATTTTGTTTATTAAATGCGTTTCTGGCATAGGAAGATGAAGCTCTGCATCTAAGTTATGCTGTAACAAACAAATTATGTAGTTCCGGATGTCATTTACCTTTTTAATGATTCTCGATTTTTGAGAAAAACCTGTTGTAGGATTATGGTAACGCAAAGCAAGACCATAATCAACAAAATAAGTTCAATGATTGCACCGATTGCATTGCATTGCATTGATACACTTAGAACACCAAAAAAAAGAATTTTTGAAAGCCCTCTATTATTCTCAAATTAGCTACCGTCCTGCCCCATAGTGCCAACACGATGCGATCATTTTAGTAACCAGCACTCCAATAACTCCCCAAGCAAATTACACAACTATTCTATACCAGGACCGGCATGAGGTGATTTTCGAAAATGCAAAAAATGAAGTCCTTTTGACAAAACCTTAAACATAAAAAACCCTCAAAAAACGAAACGTGACTAAAAAACGTCGTAATTTTTTTGTGTATGTCCCAACGATATCCCTTTGCTTTTTGTCCCAAAAACGACATTATCCAGCACTTATAAGCCACTGTACGGAGCCTTGCTTCACACTATGTCATAGCACTTTATCAAAAAATATGATACAGCGGTTGGTCGCAAGGGTAACTATCCAGAATGCTGTGGTTCAAAGTGTCAGAAATCGTAAGATCGGTTTGTGCGTGCGATAGATAACAGCTTGATACCGTATCTGTATCCTAGCTTCCAAGTGAATCACATCGCATGGAAAGGCCGAAGAATATTATGTCACAGTTCAGCGACTTGTTTTGGGGACCCTAACAAATAATGGCAACCTCACCCTCGTCTTGTTTGCATAACAGCTCTGACGATCTTACAGCCTTCAAAAACTACTCACTTATATTTCGTCGCCGACTTCCCCGTCCACATCAGAGATCAACAAGCCATTGAAGAGCGATTCGTATCGAACCGAACTTCCAATGATCTTTTCAGTCACTCGAAAGTACATATCACCTGTTAGTGTAGTGTAAAACTTCCTCATATCGAATTACGCGGACGTTTCGAGCTTGGTAATGATCAGCTTTTCATGAGGGGGTGGGAGAAAGAGGAAGGTAATTCTTAGATGAAGAGGCTTGGCGATAAAAAACTTATTCAATGCTCAATTTGGGAAGTATTTGTTCCCTTCTAGAAAAAAGGGTTCAACTGGAGCGCGATTTCTTATTTGAGCTGCAGATTTCGATGCTATTTTGAGTCTTACAAAAGTGAAGATTGAGTTTTGCATACATACTATTGTCGAATTTCTGAGAAATCAGATCCAGTGTAGGAAAAATGAATTGGGATTTTGTAGTTCGTTTCATAATTGCCGTATACCACGAATTTAGTGGCCTATGCATTGTAAAAGGGCCATCACCATTTACAAGGATTGAACTGGTCTTGGAATTCGTTAAGAAAGAGCCAAGAATGTGGTTAGACGTTTCTAAATTTTCCTTTGGCTGAAAAACTTCGTCACGGGAGAATCTTGACTCAAATCTTTTTGATGCCTAAAATTGGTATGCAGTTGGGGGTAAATCTTGAAAATTTAAAGAATTATCATATTCAGTAACGATATTCGTCGAATTTTTCACACATCGAATGCAGTCATACTTCACACTTTTCCACTTTCGGAGTCGTGGAATCTGATGACGAAATGAGAATTCCCTTGTGGACCGCGAATTCTGAATGTCAAATTTTCTTGTGGCAAGTAAAACGGTGGCAATATCCTTATCTTTTGCATCGTGAGCGCTTATTTGCAACATTTTTCTGAGTGTCGCTTTTTTTGTCTGAAACTTTCCAAAAAGCAGCAGTAGCGTGCGTCCCTCTCAGACAACCCACCGGAAGTTCCGCAGAGCAAACAAAATTTGCAGCGGTTTCGCAGAATTTCGTTTACTATTGCAAAAGTGGAAATCTTGGTCACTTCAGCATGATTTTCATGTCAAACTGGGTGAAAACGGGAACTTCCGCAGAACTTTTTACAAAGCGCTGCGAACTTCCGAAAAATGCCAGCGGTTCCGCAGCACTTTGACATGCCAGTACTTTCGCAGTTCACCCGGCGGAACTTTTCTATACGTTCTGCGAAAGTTCGGTCAGCTATTTGAGGTCGTCAGGTCAGTTATTTGAGGTCGGACCGCTCATCATGAAGAACAAGGATGTTGTATTTTATTATAGAGATCAAGAAGTTTACAACGACGAAAAGGAAATACCTAATATGCGAAGGGAAAAATGAAGAGAAAGGAAGCGGGTGAAAGCTGTTAATAATCATATATTGACATACCCTAAATGTTCTGTCACTATTTTGTCATATTTATACTCAAGTCCCAAAATCAATTGAACTTGGTATAAAAAGTATTTCAATCGTGAAGTGAACAACAAAAGCTTGTTGCCTCTCCACGAAGCGCCTTACAGAATTCTCTTTTTCAATAAGAGAAAGACAAAAATGGACAAACCTGAATCAGTCTTGTTCTTCTTAATCTTCTGTTTTTTAGACTTCTCCACCGTAGTTCCTAGATAAGCAAGTGTAATAAAAATGGAAAGATTTGATGCAAAAAAAGATCTTTTTTACAAAATTTTAGGATGAGAGTCTTACCCGGCTTCTTTGCTCCCATCCTCGAATAAGGCGGATAGAATTCGTCCAACGATGTCGCCTGCCTTCTCATTCCTAGGATTCAGCAGAGGTGTAGGCAAATGAAATGGGGGAACAGATAAGAGTTTGATATTTATATCATCTTTAAAGCGTCGACTGAGCAAATGCTTTCGGTAAAATTTTGGTTTAAAAGTGACAACTCAAGCAGTGTGATCTCGCATAAAAACACCATTTCCTGAGCTGCGTCAGTGTTTGATTTGGCGCCGATCTTTCTTTGGACCCAAGTGATGAAATTCAAAAGTTTACCCACTCAATAAGTGATGAAAAAAAACCTTAGCGATCATAAGTGGTTGGAATTTACTTGTCTAAAACTCCGGCAAAAAAATTACAAATTTGTGATTTCAGTAGTCTCGAAAACTTTGAACTTTGTACAATAAAATTATTGTACATGCAGCAGTTCGCATCTTATTGCCAGATTTTAGTCGACGATTTTTAAGGAAAGATAGAAATTATAATCATTACAAAAATTCAAATCAGCAAGAAATTTTCGGCCGCAAAAAGGAGGAGTAAAATCAAGATCAAAGGTAAAAGATAAGGTTGACCCCTTTAGCAAATTTTGCAGCCCTATGACATCATTTTTACGGTTTGTGTATTTTTTCTTATCAATTTGTATCGCCGCGTTGTGCCAACAATTTCGTTCTTTGCGCTAGTAAAAATAGAACTTCCGCCTTTTGGAGCATCCTAGACAGCCTGATTGACGTATAATCTAAAATTAATGAAGGGGCTTTAATACTTGGCTTGTTATTGCTCAACAGTCTGCTGCAATCAAAGACGTAAAATTTGCAATTTGGCATAATTTTCTTGTGTGGACCGAAAGTTTAAATTGAGTTTAAAGTTGTTTAACAAGTTTAAATTGTAAAATTGAAGATAGTACCTGCAGACCGAAGAAGACAATTAGCCGTAACTTCGCGGAACTTCGCGTACAATATATCCTCTTCAGATAAAGATTGTAATGACAGTGATGGAGTCATAGCGATGCCTTGAACTTTCAAATTATCTGAAACTCATATTTTAAGATCGATATTTACAAAAAATCAGCGGATCAGCGCACAAAAAAATTTGCTTTACGGCGTAATTTCTAACATAAATTTCAGTTCGAGAACGCCATCGACGACATCAGCAAGTTATAGACGAAAACCACATTTTTATTATCAAAAATCAAACACTTGCACATATTTGTAGCTCACAACACAATCCATGGGAGCCAAAAAGCATCATATCGGAAAAATATGGAAATAGTTGGAACACAGTTGCCAAACTAAGCGAAAGTACGGGTGACGATGACACAAGCAACAATTTCTGTTCAAAGTTTTCGAAAATCTTTCGTAGAGAACTCTACGGAAGTACCCCCACCTTGCAATATTTTTCTAGTTTTTATTGAACTTGATCCGTAGAAGTCGAAAATTTTAACAATTTCTGTGTCGTTCACCATGACACCGTGACGAACTTTTTAAGCATTTCCTAACCAGAGTATCCTTTAGCGAGGAGAGCTTGTGTGTAACCCTCGTTGCAAAAATTCTTGAAAAGTTATGTAACACTTCTCCAACCCTGCTTTTCTGCATGGTTGGTCTTTCAACTACTAGAATTTATATCGAAAGCAAAAACGCTGATTGACGTAGGTACCAGAGTGCTCAGAAGTAAAAATAGCGTCATGTGCAAACATATAGTTAGCGCAGAGCATAATCTTCTTACAAAGGCGGGACGAGGAGAAGGAGGTACTATTTGCAAACACGAGGTTAGTTGAAAACTGAAAATCAAAGATTTTATGTCTTACTAATGCTTGAATGATCACAGTGGAGCAATACATGCATGAGCAAAAAGCCGTCCTTATTTGGTAAGTTTGGTTATACTTGCATACTTCCACACCTAGAACGGTTTCTTCTCTATAAGCTTGTATTTTTGGGAGTAGTAGGTATTAACCTAGGTTTATACCTGCCCATCATGGGTCACTTTTACCTACGCTCATCTTATATATAAAGTTGAATGTCTGTCTGTATGTCTGTGTGTACGTATGTGTGGAATAGAAATTTTTATTTCTGAACCGATTTGAACCAAACTTGGCGCACATACAATTCGGGGCAGTGGGCGTGTCATAGGCTACTTTTCGCCATCGATCGATATCGATTTTATGAATTTTCATCGATTTTTTGCAAGGTTCGACCTTGGGAGTTGGTAGAGTGGGGGGGGGGGGTAAAGCATGGCGATTCCGAATACAATATTAGTTTTCAGAATCATCGATTACTTTTATCGATTTCATCGATTTTTTGCAAAGTTTGAGCTACAGGGCTGGGAGTTGACACAAGGGGGTAAGTGGGCATGCTGATTTCGAAAACAACACAGGGAACGGGAAATGAAGTGTAGAAGCGGGCACAGGGAAAGGCTGTACAAGGATTGGGAGATGGGACCTTCATTACAGTGTTTTGACAGGGCCGAGCGGAGCCGGGTAAGCAAGCTAGTCTCTTATAGATGCCCCCAAATAATACACACAGTGTTTTATCATTAATAACTCTCCTGCTTCGAAGAAAAAAAAACGAAGTCCAGGAAGAAGGACGTGCGACAGATGAGTGATGGGACCCTCATCATTCGTGGTGAAAAGGTTCCATCACGAAACGTGGGAGGCGTCGGCTTTGTCGTCCACCCATCTATCGTCCATCTTGTCGATTCGCACGAGATCCTATCACCTCGACTAGGCATCCTACGTCTACGACCTCCACATCAGAAGACCATCAGCATCATCAACTGCTATTCTCCAACATCAGCAGCTGACGAATCAGAACTAGATGCTTTCTACGAAGATGTGGAGGAGGTCGTCCGCAACGAGAAGTCCTTTTATAAGTTTGTTGTGGGCGACTTCAACGCGAAAATCGGGATGCCACTGGAAAAGGAATATAGGATCGGGAAGTTTGGATATGGGCTCCGGAACAAAAACGGCAACCGCCTTGTTGGGCTTCTCTTCGCCGCACGACTTTTCCATGGAAATTCCATCTTTATGAAGAAAGAACATCGCCGGTGGACATGAGAATCGCCCAACGGAACGACCCACGCGGAGATCGACCACATTCTCACCAACCGAAGGTGGAGCTTGCTCGATATCTCAGTAGTTCCATCCTTCTGCAGTGGCTCCGATCACCGCCTCCTTCGAGCGAAGGTACGATTCAGTCGAAGGCCGGAAAAGAAGGTCTGCCACAGTGCCGCAAGAAGGAAGAATCTCGTTTATGACGGTAACAGGCTGGAGGAGCTCATATCAAGTTGTGACTGGCCCATCGAGGAGGACCCAACGTACGACTACGACCGGCTTCTGAAAGGATTGCGAGCCTGCGGAGAGTGCGCCTCAGTGACTTCCGAGAAGTATGTTGAACGCGTTTCGAAGACACCAAGGAAATGCTTGAAAGAAGAAGATTTCTGAGGCAGGATCCGAATGCAACCCATCTCGAGCGACTGATAGCCAACGCCAGTCGCAGAACAGCTTTGCAGGAGGATCTCAGGAAGTACAGGCAAGCCAAGATACTGGAAGCAGCCGAAGGAAGACGAAGTCTCAAGAAGTGCCGAAGGGACCTCTGTGAATATCGCGTACCGCTGGCTGCACTATGAACGAAGACGGGACTCCGACTTCTTCCCGATACAAGATGGAATCTATCGCGAAGAACTTCTATACCAACCTCTTCCGCTCATCAACACCCGTGCCGATGCCCGTTGTTCCCACTGGAGAAGTACCACCACGAATTCTACCTGCTGAAGTGCGCACAGCGATTCAGACCATGAAGACGTCCACGGCTCCAGGACCAGACCATCTTTCCGTCGAATTTCTGCGAGCTGGAGGACAACGTCTACACGAGATCCTCGCGTCGCACCTAACAATTTACCTTCAGAAGGAAAGGATTCCCGACCAGTGGAGATCATCAAGAACCGTCCTTCTTTTCAAGAAGGGTGAACGGGAAGATCTTCGGAACTACCGTCCAATATGCCTGCTGAGTGTGCTGTACAAGCTTTTCACGAAGATTATCCTCGCTCGCATATCTAGGACACTGGATGAAGCCCAACCCCAAGAACAAGCTGGATTTCGCAAAGGATTCAGCTGCATGGACCACATCCAGACGGTTTCGAGGGTCATAGAAGTCTGCCGGGAATACCGACTGCCTCTCGTCCTAACCTTTGTCGACTACGAGAAAGCCTTTGACAGCGTCGAAACCAACGCCATCCTGTCTGCGCTAGTCGATCAAGGAGTGGACCCAGCTTACGTGAGGACGTTAGCCGACTGTTACAAGGACTTTACAACGACGATGCAGCTATTCCATCGCCCCCTGATCATCCCAATTGGGAAGGGGGTTCGACAAGGCGACACAATTTCGCCGAAGCTGTTCACCGCGTGCAGTGGGTGATGAAGTCACTGGACTGGGACGAGAGAGGCATACGAGTTGATGGGAGATTCCTGTCGAACCTTCGTTTTGCGGACGACATCGTTCTCTTTTCGAGCAGTATCACTGAAGCAGAGACGATGCTGAAGGAACTGAACGAAGTAGGGAAGAAGATCGGATTGCGAATCAATCGGAAGAAGACTCAGTTCATGAAGAACGCCCTTTGCAAAGATGCAGAAATGGAATTGGAAGGCACCCCTATCACGGAGACGTCTTCTTACGTGTATCTCGGACGTTCGATGAACATGGAGAACGACTTGAGGGAAGAACTTGACAGGAGAAGAAGAGCAGCCTGGGCCGACTTCGGGCCTCTGAAGGAAGCCACCGACCAACTGACGGACCCGAAGCTTTGTGCCCACCTGTTCGACTCAACCGTTCTCCCGGCGCTCTGTTACGCAGCTGAGACTTGGGCTGACACCGTCGCCACTTTGAAAGCTTTAAGGACCACCCACAAAGCGCTAGAGCGTAGTCTTCTGAAGATGACCCGACACAAACAACATCTCGTCGGACTTCACAGTACGGATATGAGGAGAATGTCCCGTCTTCGTGACCCAGCGGATTACGTTGCGAAAGCGAAGCATCGATGGGCCGGTCACATCATGAGAAGAACAGACGACAGATGGACACTAAGAACATCGGAGTGGATTCCTCGCGAAGCAAAACGTCCTCGAGGAAGACCACCAACGAGATGGGCAGACGTGTTCGTGGAACGGATGGACCAGCTGAGAAATCAGCTGGATACGATTTTTGCACCTGGAACTCGTGGACGCAGCCACCGACGTCAGCCAAGAAGATCGTGGATGTCAGAAGCGAGGGACAGGGAGAAATGGAAACTTCTGAGCTGGGGCCCGCACGTCACGTGAAGCCGGGCCATCTAAGTATCTAAGTAAGTAAGTAACTCTCCTGCTTCAATGTTTTTGTCCAGCTTTAGGTACATTATATGGAACTAGCTTCAACTCAAATTTACAAGATAGGATCTTTGAATCTTTGATACTTCTTCGTTACTGTATGGTTATGATCGGAACTTTGCAGAGGATTTTAAGTGGTTAAGAGTCGCATTTTGCCTCAGATAATAGCCAAACAAGCCAAGAACTCTCATACCATGTTCAGAGTCACTGATGTCAGAAAGAACTCTGCATCACCACACGATCATCTTTCCTTCATACGTTATTACAGGAAAACAGCTGCTTTGTGTTTATGAAGAAAAAAAAAAGAAATCAGCTTGCTTTAGCTCTGCTACAGAATTTTGCAATTTTTTTGAACTATCAAACGGTCACTAACGACTTGGATAAACTCATTAGAATACGCTTATTTCCTGCAAAGTTGTCTTCGTTTGAGACCGTTTCAAGGAGCTATCTACAGTCTCAGTGAAATGTTGTTACCAACTCGGGTTGTTACGAGCTATCACATAACCTTGCTTCGTTGTGTTTTTGTTTCGTTTTTTGTGTTGCTTCGTTGCTGCGGTTATCACAGAGACATCCCCTATGTAATAAATGAAATAAAATGAAAGAATTCACAATGGCACAATATGCTAAAAACGTACCGTAATCCCACAGTAACGGAGAAATCGGAGACTAGCTCCATACTGACAGTCTAAGTTGAAACAAGCTTTACAGAATGCTATCTAAAGATCGGAATGACATCGAAGCAAGAGTTATCAAGGATCAAACAGTGTGTGAGTTATTTTGGGGCACCCCCACATTTAATAAGGATCTTCCAACTAGCAAAAAAGCCCCAAGTCCTCTCATTAGAAACACGAGAAAAAGGACTTTCGAAACTACTCCAACATGTGAAGTCCGCCGAGAACGGCGAAAAGGTCTAAATCATATGGTTTTCAGTAAGCGATGATAAAATTTGTAAATCACTCGACAGCTCCAAGCTCGTGATTACAAAATATTGACTCAATCACAGTTTGTCTATACAATTTTTTGATGTGGCCCCGCCCATTTCACAGCACCATGCGTCTCCAGCTTTTTCGCGCAATGAGGTTGGCATGTTGTCCGCTTTTCATCATTTGAAAGAGCTACTCAAAACTTTGTTCAAGTGATGTAGAATCTAGAGCGCCTTAGCTTTTTAGTTTTAAGGAAGCTGAAACTGACGACTCACGCTATCGAACTTATCTGTGCCGGCCTTGTTTGAGAGATTTTGGAGTAACACAAATGAAGAAAACGAGCTGACTTCAGCGAAGGTGACTTCCTGTCCTTGCACTTTGAAAATGATTTCGCAAGGTTAATGCAAAAGTTTAAGAAGCGTTCCTTATGCGACAGCCGCATATGAATATAAGAGATGCAAAAAACAACAATTTAGTCAAGCAAAACATGCTTTATAAGTCAACTACCAGATTTTCTCAGAAACTTTGGTCTGCCTCAAGTCGAAAACCAAAATCAAAATAAGATATCCAGTTATCCTTTAATCAAAGGAGATGGCGGCTAGTACACGGGCTTCGTGCCTAATCAAGGCTAGGGAATGATTAGAGAGCACGCCCACGAGAGAGACGAAGACTGCGTCGCGGGTGCGAGCGGCTACCTTCCACCCGCCAATCCCGCTGAATCAAAGGGCACATAAAATCGCAATGAAAACTTGCAAACCACTTGTCATCATAAGCAAATAGTGTAGTACATCAATTTAGTTGCCCGAAATCTCTTCCAGACTTGAAGCCAACAAAAACAGGCTAAAACTACGATTGTCTTTTCCTTGTGCTAGCTGTGATCTGCACCAGGGCATGCAAAGGGACTTTCATGGTTCTATTTTAAGAAGTTTATAGAATAAAATAATAGAACTCAAGACTGGCGCGCGTTGGTTGCAAAATTCTGGCCACTTTTTTCTTCAGTACAGTCATAAAAAGCACAACGAAGGCAAGCAGGGGATTCCAATCTGAGTGTCTCAGTCAGCGCTTCCTCGAATTGGTCTCTCGCCGCGTTCGCCTTCAACGGACACGGTAGTCGATCTTAACTGGTATACATCACGAAGTGGTAAGTTTTCTTCTTGAAGTATGTTATCGCCAATGCCAACTCGCGAGCCATAACGGACTCCCAACTACGCTCTCCTTCGTCATTCGATGTGCCGTATCCGTGGTTTCCATGATATTTCTCCGGAACATTCGGGACTGTCCTACATGTCTATTCAGATCTGCTCCGATTAGTAGTATTTTCTCGTGTTTACAGGAGATGCAGTCGTCAAACTTTCACCGGAAGTCCTCCTTCTCGGCTTGTAACATCGTGCTTGAGGTGCGGCTATTTGAAGCGTTCTTTCTCCAGCATACAATCTCATACCCGTAAGACGGTCACTTTTCGATCTACATCTATGATTTAGCTCCTCAGTTCTTCGATACGACGATGCGGACACTTGCTGCTATTACTTGTTCCTCTGTATAGAAGCTTGAAGCAATCTCCTATATCACGCAACTTCTCGCCACCCCATTTGGTTTCTTGAACGCAGGCGACGCCTACTCTATGCCATCTGAGATCTGCGGGTAGGCTGTCGAAGCGTAGAGAATTTGAATCGTTGCTTGTATCCATGATGAGCTAGCTCCACAAGAAATCAAATTCAGAATTCAGCCGCTCCCGCTCATCTTGTTATGAGGATAACATTTGCTTTCTGTTCACATTCTGGCTCAATACAGACTGTATAGGCTGCTGCGGGGAGGCGGTCTTTTCGCACGGGCGGTCTTCAGCGCCACCCTGAATTTTGACTTGTCTTAACACGTCACGCACGCCGCAAATTTTTCTCCCCTGCTTTGCTTAGGCAAAAGCCGCCGCAGGGTGTATCGCGCGCGACAGCGGTCCTGTGTGGAAAGCAGTACGGTCGTGCGAATCGTCCTACACCCCAGTGAAGATACGCGCGCGTCGTGTTCGCGCTCGCTCAACTAATACTGCTTCTGCGCCGTTATGCAATAGCCTTTAGACTTTTGAGCAATGGTTCTTTATATTTCTACATTTTCTATGCTCCAAAGCACAACGACATTTTCTGTCTGCTAACTAGTCACACCAGCCCAAGTGCAAGCAGCAAGTTGAAGCAGAAAAAAGATGATCATTCAGAATTCTTCATTGTAACAGACAACAACACTTTCCAAATCAACAATCAAAACAAGTAAACTGCTTCAATAATCTCATAAACTTCCACAATTATCACAATTATGAGCATGAAATGATTTTCAGTGCAGATGAGTTCTTTAGTTTGAGAGCGAATACCACTGAAAAAGGCACAACGACAGCCGAGTTTGCGATACACTATCAACTAACAAGCTATAGTTATTTGCATAATCTGAGAAATTATTACAAGATCCAAACCATACGATGGAGTCTGGCTCTGTCAATCAAGTATTATGACATCACGTATTATCAAAGTACTAAAAGCGCGCTATTTTGTAACATTTCCACGACCAAGCCGTCTAGCCTGAGGAGGGCTTTTTGTTGGACTTCCCCTCGAACTATTTCTACGAGCACGAGAAGGCGCCAAAGAGGATAGAGAGATATCAATTCGTTTACAAAGTTCTGCCCATCTTTCCATCCAGAAACGCCGTTGCTCCAAGACAAGAGCTGCATTTTCTGGGCTGAAGTAAATTACATTACTTTGCTGAATGACGCTTTTTTTCAAAAAAAAAAATTTTTTTTGCAACCTTTCGAGGAAAACGGGATCAGGCAGTATTCGCAGCTTCCAGGTCCTGTTGCCGCGTATGGCAAAAGTGGATAGAATGTCTACGGCATCTTTCGAATCGAGTTGGAAGCACCTATCAAAAGTCAACCTGGGTTGTAAGAATATTCGTTGTTTTTGATCATTCATTAAGATAAACTTCGGAACCAAATACTACAAATGCCCTAAACCAATCACTGCATAAAAAGAGCCTAATGGGCCGCGCACACCCCCAAATTATGCTGTTTCAACATTAGAACAAAGGCATATTGTTACATCAGGCAGCATAATGACTGGAATTTCGGAAAAAAAGGTTCAGTGATAAAATGGAACTATTATATGCTCGCTCACAGATTCGAACTACCATGTAGAGTATTCAAAGCGGCCCCAGTGGACAGCCGTAAATATTTTACATAGATGCTGAATTTATAGTGTAATACAAATGCTATCACAGACCCAGTACGACGGTACTATGCCGGAAATGTGCCGTAGCTTCGACAATCCACGAAAACCCGACACCCCCCCCCCCTCCTTCCCCCAAGGTGGATTCCCAGAACGGCGATTGGATGGGCGTGTGTGGGTGGGCGGGCATTACTGAAGGGGAAGGGGGGGGGGGGCGGTTGCCGCCTAGGGGTCCTCCGCTCTTTTCGTTGTCCGGGATTTTCGCTTCCGAAGTGACATTTTGCCGCGCAACTTGAGCACTGGCTTGGTAGCGGGCCCTACTATTGCATGCTGCCAAAAGCTCAAAACCCCTAACCCAGGGTGGAAAGTGCCTTTACCGCGTATTATAAATTAAAATGTCCACTGTAGGATTACGGTCCAGACTGAGATTTGCTCACCACAAAGGTGAAGTATGTGGAGATCAAACAAAATCCGAAAAACCATTGAAATGGTAAAAAACTCCTCCTATGTTCTGCTACTCGACACCTCTTGCGCGCGCCAACTTCGGTATCGGCGATGTGCCAGGCCCATGCCGCCACATGAAGAACGTGAACCTAGGCCTTACAGGCACCGTCCATCCAGATTCTCGACTTTCATGTTTTGGTTGTTCCAGGGTTCTAGTGTACCTGACTCCGACTATGAAGTCGAAAATCCGCGAAAACCCCGACAATCCTCGTTCCAGAGAACCCACAGGCGATTCTCCTTTAGAGGCATCGTCCAACCTGAATCAAGAATCTTGAGCTTTTGGCAGCTTGCAATAAAAGGCCCCCTATCAAGCCGATGCTCAAGTCGAGGCGCAAAATGTCGCTTCGGAAGCGAGAAAATCGTTCGGAATAGCGGAGGCATGATGACCCCAAGTTCCCTCCCCTCCCCCCCCCCCCAGTAATGCCCGCCCATCCGTGCGGCCCATACAATCACCGTTTCAGAAACAGGGATTGTCGGGGTTTTCACGGATTCATGACTTCATATTTGAAATCAGGGATAGGAGAAGGCCCCTCAACGACCAAAAACATGGAAATCGAGGATCTGACCGGTGCCTTTGATAGTAACACTACCGCTGATACGCTCGCGCATCTCCGCCGTGAGTAGGGAAACAAATACCGCCAACGCTCCACTTCCTCAAACCCATAATATTCAGAGGTAGGCAATAGCGTGTGCAAAAGATGCGGTAGTCCTCGAAGGATATGTCTGTCGACAAAATTCGCACTACGCTTAGCTCCAGCGCGCTGTCGATTTGCACAATAGTAGAGTCGAAACTTACTTGGTTAGTAGTGCGCGTGTGACTGGTTGGCCCGCATCGATAAGGCATAAAGCGAGATCTCGTGCATCACGCCATACTTGTGAGCGATGCTCGTCAAGCTGAAACTCCTATTTTGGGAGAGAACATATAGAACTGATCATTGATATAGAGGAAGACAGAAATAGGAGTTTCCACGGCTACATGGAAGGAGACAAAGCTTCACCCACCTTTCCTGCTGATGTTGAGTGCACAGCAGTGAGATCGTGGAACAAAAAATCAGACTGAAGTACCCAGACACCTTAAAATCACGACAGTATTGAATTACCACATTGAAACATTAAAAGTTACCTTGAACAAGACGTGCACATTGCTTCAAGTCCTCGATGACATCCTCACGAGTGAGTGACGGATCAACTCGTTTTATCACATCGTCAGTTGTTATTACTCGTGCTTCAATGAGTGCCCTACTTTTTTTCAGAAAACGCTCAAAAAATGATAAACACACATTTCAAAACCTGTGCTTTGACCTGCTGATGAATGGGCATTTCTCGAATACGTTGTTGAGAGACCAATAAATCACTGCGAGTGAGATCACTAAATTGGTCACGATCACTCAAACATAAATATGCCTGATTACATTCACTGTTGCCTGTATCTTGAAACCAAGAAATGACGTAAATAGACATATTGAAATTCTTCACTCAACCACAACCTGTAAAAAAAATAAGAGGAAACCAACACTTGTTCCTTTTCTCCACAGACAATGCCATGTTCTACGAGATCTCGCGTATTCAAACTCAATGACTCGGGTTCTAGTTTCGGGGTGACGGTCAGCTGAGAAAGTTTCTCCATAACCAAAGGATCCTGTAAAAACTGAAGCAGCATTAACAAAAATGCAAAGTAGCCCCCTCTTCTAGCTCGATGAAATTCTGCGACTGTCACTGTCTCTTCAAATCATTTTTTTTTTCGACTCGTAACGCATCACCCAGTGAAATCCTTGCAAAAGTATCAAACACAATGCCTTTACCACTTTTGGCCAGGCATGCGCGAACAAATTGGATGACTTTGAGTGCATATTTCAAGTGACGCAAAGGACTTTGCATGACATAGTAGAATAACATCGAACAACATACAATGAAATCAAGAACACACCTCTTTGAGATGAACCTGCATCGGTATCCACGAGTCGCTTGCTATCAACTTTTCTCTATGTAGCGCACTGGCTTCACGGCGTTTTTTCTGCCTCTCAGTTTCAGGACGGGAGAATTTTACTCGTATCTGAAGAGCGATGTACTAAAAGTGAACAGCAAAACTCCATAAGATTCAGCTTTAAAAATTTTCAAGCGTATTCCTAATATTCTGCGCCACAGCCCAAGCATCAAGACAGCCAATACCGTTGACATAGTGCGTAGTGACAACTTAAAAGTCGCAAGAATATCCGTAAAAAGCTAAGCTGACTGCGAAGTTTCTTGATAAACCTACTGTTGACATGGAAGCTTGTCAGAGAGAAAAATCAATTTAGAAGCAGTGAAAGTTACCTGCTGCCCACTGCCACCTGGATTCTCACCGTCCGACTCACCATCTTCGCCTGAAAACTGAACTGTATAGTGAAATTTACCTTACTGCAATAAACGCACCTTCATTATCACGCCCTTTACTGGCATTATTTAGATGAGAAAGTGAACGATGCATTTCAAAAGTTCCCGAAACAGGACTCATGTAAAACGTATCTGAATTTGGATATGAGGGCAGAATCACGTACGAGTTCCACTTACTTAAAAACAACCTTACCGTCCCTAAAATACCCTACGGCGAATTCGACGAAATCATCCCTTCCGTATGCACGACCTTCATAGATTTCTTCATATTTTGATGGGGCTCTGGAAAGTGAAGAACTAATTGATGGAGTGAAGCTCGCTGAGCACGCACGGAAAGTCCTCCTGTTTCACGACCGGAGACGTCATGGCAGCAAAACGTTCAGCTTTGTTCTTGTCGAACGATCCACTTGAAATGTCTGCCGACAAGCGCATCTCCATCTAAAACATTTTCATTTCACTGAAGAGAAGACAAAAGCTGAACGAGCGAAGTATACAAAAAATACAGTGTACAAAAAATTACCATGCGAACGTTCTTCTTATACCGTACACGTGGATTCCTTTCCTGATCAAAAGCGTCCTTTTTTCGTACTGGAAAGTGTACCCGATAGAGTTCGGTGTTTGGCAGTTCATTGCAGATGACCACATCGTACTGAATAATGGACTTGATAAGCTGAGTTTGAGACAAACACTTTGGTAAACCTTACATGCACATAAGAAAGCGAAAGCAAATATTATAAATGTCATAATTATAGTCTTCATTCATAAACATTTGAAAGCTATTTCATAAGCATACTAAACTTTCGAACCACTCATGATGATACATCATAACTCGTCAATAAATGGTGGGCAAATATCTTCCCAGAAACGAAGAATTTTATGAAGAAGCAATATTTTGTATAAACAAGCCAAGATTCAATGATCTGCAAAGTAAATCTCTGGACAAAACCGGGAGAAGCTTCTTTTAGTTACGAGCTGTGAATATGATAGCCGACTTTCATCCCTTTCGCTATGGGTCAAATCATAATCAAGTGGAGTGTGTCTGACTATACGCGCGAGCGATTGTCGCGAGGGACCGAGGGACCAATGGTTGCCTTAATTCAATAATTTTCTGTGAATTTCCTTATTATGGATATCAAGAAGCAGCAAGTAAAATATTCAATATATATGAACAGTCAGAAGAAGGTGCACGCCCAGTGCTATAACATGTTGTAGCTAGAAAACAATGTTTTTCGCCCGTCCACCCAAGATAAGGTGGAGATTTTGATGCTGTATAATAGCGGAGACACTAACTAAGCAATCACCCAACTATCGCTGCAGAAGATAAATTCCAAAGCGAGAAAAGCGCACCAGAAGGTAGAGTCGGCCAAGGTTTCGCCCATCAACCTGTGGCCGTATTTATCAACGAACCCAGTGGGTTCCGGAGCCCACTGGGTAGGCTTAACCCACGAGATCGGTATTCACGAAGCTAGTGGGTTCGCGAACCCAGCAGCGCTTTTTGTGAATATCGAACCCAGTGGCACTGTTTTCGCTTACCCACTGGGTAGCGGAACCCACTGGGTTCGTTGATGAATACCGCCACTGGATGGCCTGAAGGTAACAAGACCAAACATGGCTTTAAAGTATCCAAAACTCATTGTGATTGCCGCTATGACCAACAAATCAAACATGCCTATCCTGAAGCCCAATTTCGGACTTGTACCCTCTGATGGGAGACGGCCCTTCTGTACCGCTAGCCTTAGCAGCCTAATTACTGCGCGCTTTTGATTGGTCGGCGCTGCCGTGAGAGAGCTAGGACGGAGCGGTTCAGAAGGGCACACACCCCTCTCTGATTCATCGGGATGGCTGGTGGAAGGCGGGGCTTTGAACGCCAATCAAGCCTAGGGAATGACTGGATTCGCTCGCGAGAGAGACGCACTCTGCGTCTGCTCTCGCGAGCGGTCGCCTTCCACCCGCTACTCCCGATGAACCAAAGGATGGTCTTTAGAACACCCTGCCTTTGGCCTTCTCACTTTAGAATTCATTATTTGTAGCGAGACTTGGGCGATTGCCTAGATAGGGACCCCTGACGCAAGGCTGCTGTTTCACTTTGGCGGCTATGGGTCGCGCTGCGGTCCTATTATCTTTTTATTCGGAAGAAATAGTCTGCGTTCGAGATTACCATAGGAAGAGGTTGTGGAAATACTACTGCTTGCACAGGACCGCAGAAAAAAAAAAGAAAAAGTGAAACAGCAGCTTTGCGTCAGGGTTTGCTCAAGATGCCAGTGCTGTTCGCAAGACGCTCCGCCTTTGACACCTCAACTTGTTATAGACGATCTTGGGCATCAAAAACACCGTAAGACTAGCATGGCAAGCGCACAAATGTGCGCTGGCCCTGACAACAGTTGAACCAGAAGGAACAGAGAACAACACAGGAACTGAGAGAATGACGGCAATACAATCAAAGTTAACAACTTGAAACTAACTTCCATATCGATTGCATCACTCTGTTCTTCCTCGTCATCAGATTCCACTTTTTTCTTGATTTTGACACGCTTCTTCTTCACTATGATTTCGTCCTCATCGCCCATCTCAAAGATCCTGAATTCTATGCCTACTATCAAACAATCAAAGGAGAAATCGAACGCATGAGACCACGAACGGTCGCAAATTAGACGTTATTTCCGAGAATATTCACGCATGCATCATGCACACCACCATGCGATTCACGACAAGTTGAGAGTTCTGGTGTCATTGCAGATCTCACTTGTAATTCGCGTTGTTAAATGAATTTTTTTTATCCATTTTGAATTCCTTCCTTGCATTTCATTTCGTTCATTACATAGGGTTACCTCCATGGCAAATCATAAAAAACACACCAAAAACAAACAACTATATCAACACTAAACCACAAATTTCAGGTATTAGTATCTACTTAAACTTGCGTCAATAACAATATTGTCAAATGGATTGTGACGGTAGACAACTTTTTAGAATAATCTTGAACGAAGACAGTTTAGCAGGAAATAATCGTTTTCTAAGCTTGTCCATGTCATGAGTGACGCGGCAAGTGAAAGTTACTTGAAAGAAAAAAGTTCCAGACATCTTTCATTTCTCGCTTCTCATCTTTCAAATTTTTATGTCCTTTCATTTACTCTGCATTTGTCATTATCTTTGAACGCCTCGAAGAACCTTTGCGTGCTTTCAGGATGGTCCGGAGAACCTCGCTGGCTCGTATAGCGGCTACTGTTGCTACCCTGAGCCAGAAAACAGGCTTCGGACCCAACCGTCTATATCGCAAAGGAGTTCACTTTGTTGGCACTGAACCCGACGTTCTAAAATATCATTTGGTAGTTGCTCATTATGATTTCTCATGTCGTTTCACTAATGTACTTTTTTCTTTAGCTTCAAGATAAAAAACCACATGAACCATATGGACTGCAAGGAAGCAATCATCTCCTACCTGGAAAAGGCAAAATTCATTCTAGGTTACCTGTGAAGGTGATTTAATATTATCATCACATCTCTATGTATGTACATCTTTCAAGAATTTCGTTTATCTTGTGTTGACTTGAGTTTCAGGTACACATGAAGAAAGACAAGGTCTATGCATGGTGCAGTTGTGGATACAGCGGGAACCAGGTAGGCTTTTCATCGCTTCGAATGTGGTAGCTTGGCACAATTTCACAGTGGTAAACAGTTGACTTCAAAATATTCGTTTATTCGAATTTTTTTCTCGAATATATTTATTATTTGAAATTTTTTCATTTCGAATATTCGATATTCAGTTATTCGACAGTCTTTATGTTTCGAAGTTCGATATTCGATTATTCGGATTTGTTGAACATATTCGATATTCGGATATTCGACATTTTTTGTTTTTGAAAATATTCGGAGTTCGATTATCTGATATCTTGATTTTCGAATATTTTCGATTAATCGAAATTTTTTTTCAAATATTCCAAAGTATACTGTGAATCCACGCTCCCAGCTACCGGAGCGATCTTCTTGATTTCGGTAGCAGCCCTGACATCGCCAACGGCCAAATGCAAACGACTGACTTGATACCAGTACCGAGAGGATTACTTTGGAAACTGGAGATATTGGGGGAAACCCCGCCCACTTACTGTTTTCCCTTCTGGGTTAGAGCCGTTTTCGCGCTTTCCAGTGTTGAATTCGAATTCAGCATCGCAAATACGCCTGGAGCAATGATCTTAAAATCGAGTTTTTGCCAGGACACTGCCTTAACCGCGTGCACCCGACGAGAATCACATCTCTAGATTATTGTGCAAATGAGTAGACGAGTTCAATGCATGCTCTTCTTGATGGAGTAATTTCCAGCCACTCTGTGATGGTTCGCACAATTCTATCCATGTCCCGGATTTAAAGCTGAAGCCGGTACGATTTATACCTGACAAGGATACCACGGTTTGGTTTTGCAACTGCAAGCAGACCAAGAATAGGTTAGAATGTTTACATCGTTGTCAAACAACTTTGAAGGAATGTTTTGGCCTTTACGTTGACTTCACTTTTGTGCGCATAATCTGTTTTGTTTAGGCCATTCTGCGATGGATCTCACAAAGACATCGTAGACAAAGACAAAACCGCTGGCTTGTTCGATTGACAAGTGCAAATGTTGTGTCATGTTTTAGATGCTTAGGTTGTTGCTATATTAGGATTGAAAGGTTTTGTTATTTTTTAACGAGACAACTTACTGGTCAGATTATAATTTAGACATTCTGTACATTGTATTTTGTTGTGTATATATGTCAAACAGTCAGATCCAACGAAACTGTTCACTCGTACATACTCAAGTTTTTGATACCGAGACCAGAAATACGGAGTAAAGACTCGACTTTTATAGGCCGCTGCAAGACGAAGGCGCAATATTTTTGGGCGCGGACGCGGCTTTATTGGCCGCAGAGCGCATGAAGCGCAGGATTCACAACGGTTAATATACGCGGGCGCCGCGTTTGCGCCCGCTCAACTAATTCTGCTTCTGCGCCTTCTCATGCAGTAACCTTTATGTGGAAAATTGAACGTGCGAATGCCTGACTTCTCAAACAGTTGTTTCATTATGTCAAACACTGTATATGTAGCTGCAGTGGCGGACCGAAGGGAGAGGGCGGGGTGGGAGTCGCCTTGATTCACGAAATTTTGAAAATCACTTTCATGAGTTACTAGTGGACCAGTAATTAAAGGTGCTAGATTGCATTCGCGCGCTTCGGGACCGCACCGCTGTTTCCCGCTATGTGCACATTTTTGAATTGCGCTTGTGATTCTTTATATATTAGATAAGGTAGTGTAATTGTCTACACTTCTGGACAGCTGAAATTTTTAAACTTTTAAGAAAATCGAATTAGCCTTTCAAAAAGTTGAGGGCGCGGAGACAGCCACTCCCTCTCTCCCTCATTCTGGGGATTGTAACGTCACAAAAATTTTGAGAGGCGTTCCAAAAAATTTTCCGGGATGCGTGGCTAATGCCATCACCTTCATTCATAGGTTTTTCTGTCTCTCCTTCCCCCTCCCTCCCCCCCCCCCCCCCCCTCCATACGAAAATCCCGCGACCCCCATTGGTATGCTGCTAGTAAGACAGGCCATTATGTTCGACGCTTGTAAGACAAGCGTCGAGCATATTGGCGAAGAAGCGTGGCATACGACAGCCAACGACACCCTTCCCCTGAACCGTGTCCCAGCGTGTTGGCCATCAGTTAGAATTGAGCAAGAGGTCACGCATGAGCAGTGTCGAGCGCGGGGAGCGGCAAGCCTCTCCTGGGGGTCGTATTGAGGGGTCAGCAAGGGAAGTGGGAGTCGTAATCGAGGTGACATTGATGTTAGCGGTAACATGGTATGTGTTAGCAAACAGTTAAAGGCAGTGGCTCGGCAAAACCAAACATCTCGAAATGATATGGAAGCTTGCTTGCACCTCAAAACATGAGAACATGAAACATGAGCAGGTCCGAGCGCACGTCATGCTGCCACTGCCTAGAAAACTGTCCCTAAACACGTACGCGCAAGCTTATTACACGCGCTCGGACGAGCTTGCGAAATCCCTCTCGCCGTTAGAGGAGGTACTCGGACACTCGCACCGGCCGGGGGTCGTTCCACGACCGGCCGGTCCGTCACCGACATTTCGGCCGGAACGATCGCCAGCCGGCCGCCAGCCGGTACTCAAACGGCCGCCGGCCGGGGCCCCATTTAAATCTACAGAGTCGGCTGCGCGGGCGGTCGCGTCGCGCGCGCAGCTTTTGTGATTAGGTCACGCTTGCCGTGTGCGCAGCCGACTCCGTGGATTTGTATGCTATTTCAGCTCATTATGTGATTTCCAGTCTCTTATTAACAAGATCGACGGTCTTCATGACAATCTATGCATGTGTTTGGTAGCACTGCTTTCCCACTACAATTGCGATGCCTTTCTGCTTTCAAATCTTTTGTATCTCATGTTCACTTGTATGGGGTTTCTCTATGTACTGGTAAATTTTTTCGTATATCTTACTTGCAAATTTCATATTCTCATTTGCGAAATGTTGACTGCACAGTTTTTGTTCGCCTTATCTTCATCAATTGCAATCTTGCTGGATTTCCTCATTGATGTGTGCTTTCTGTCGCTCATGCTTACAACAACAATGATGTTTTCAGTCTGTGCGCCCGTCATCTTTACTCTCACTTGCAACGGCCTCTATCGCTTTTGACGGATCTCAAGAAGACGTCAAGAGTAATTTCTTGTTCTGAGGGTTTTGCTTTGGTGCATAGATTGTTTCAGAAGTTGGAGCTTCTCAAATGTAGTATGGTCGCCTGTCTATGGTCGTCTTGAGTGCCGCTTCGACTATTCTTTCCGCAGCAAAAGTAGTTTTCTCCTTTGCAGTGATAGCAGGTAGGAACTTCCAAGTTTGGCCAAATCAACTGGAAGTGATAATCACTGGCGTTTTGAACAACTCCTTCGTCTTATTATGGTTCGATCATGATTGGGGGTTTGACGATTTCATTAATCCAGTTCTTCGAAACTGTCGGTCCAGACCCAATGTTGATTTTTTATTCTTTTCAGTGCGATCACGTGCCATTTCACTTTATCACATCTGTTTCTGGTTCAGCATGGGAGGCCAATAACGGCTCCAAAGCTTGTGTATGAATACAGGTATGAATAAATACCTACTTGCGATTTTGCTTTCTCAAACAAACTTTCTTACAGACTGGCTGGGTCGTTCATTGTTTTTCGTTGTGACAGATGAAAACACTGCTATCAATCCAAAGTGGACTTGAGCTCATAAAAAGAGATATTGGTCATTCACCGGTGTATGATTTCCGATTGTTGTTCCATGTTTGAGAACTTAGAAATTTAGGAACTACTAGAACTTATTACTTCATTTGCAATGAAGTGTAATGTATGTAAGATGTTGACAGAGATAAATGTGTTACTAGAATGATGCTAACTTTCGCTACTTACGATCGCCCTAACCCCACCTATATGTTTCTGCCAGCCTTTCTCTAGCAGATTTGTCGTCGCCTCAAGGCATCCGAAATTGATATCAGTGCTTGTCCTACGCAACGAATATTCAATTCAGTAAAGTAGAGATGACGCAGCATACCGAAAGACTTACATGACTGTTAAAACAGCAGAGATAGGACGTCGGAACTTCAGATGCCTTAGGCGTCTTATATAGTCATGACAAGATGCGAATGACGCGACACTCTTATGCTTTATGAGTGTACTTCTGCACCTCTCAAACAAATCATGTTTTATTTCTCAAAAAGACTTTCACTAACCAAAAACCAATGATAGTGCGTGGGCTGAAGAATGCATTGGAAATGATGAGAATAATTGAGAATCATGGAAGCATCCACTTAAACAGTATGCTTACGAAAGACCTAACGAAAGAAAGGACTTCCCATAAACAGTGGGATGACATATCAAATCGTTCCGACTAAGCACTAAGTTCAATTCACTATAAAGTCGCTGAGAATTTTTGAAGGAGGCCAAGAAAGGTTGAAATTTGAGAAAAATGAGTGAAAGAACATAAAAGTACGAAATCAAAAACATTCAGATGAGCAAGAACTTACAACATACAATAAAACGTCGAGAAGCCACAGGTTTCATTGTGAGGCAGTAAGTGTGATAGCAGTCGAATCTCAGGTGGACGAAGTATCACGAAGTATCTTGAGTTCAGATCCGTTGTGAATTCACAACAGTGTTCTTATCGGTTAGTCCATTCGGTGAAAAGCATGAAGACTGGCCAATCGATTTCTGTAAGAAACCCTTTCACGAGATTTAGTCTCAAGTATACTCACTTGTACATTATTTGTCGAATGATACACAAAGCCTGAAGCGCAAAACTGCTCTCATGTTTGATCGGAGACATATGAGTGAAATGAACGCGATCGCACTGAAAAGATCAAAATCAACATTTAGTCTGGATTTGATTTTGGTTTTGAATAACTGGATAATAAAAATTACGACAAATGATCGAATCATAGTAAAACGAAGGAGTTATCAGACCTCCAAAAAAGAGATTATCAACGGAAAACCAACCTGATGCTCTTATGTTCTACTACAGAATGGTCAAGGGAAACCAGGAGAGTGTAGCAGATGACTATAAAGGCAGGCACGTCATTCAGCTCGAGCAGAAGATCAGTGTAAATGGTGCTTGCACCGACTGAAATCCAATCAATCAGAATAACATGCAGGACCATCTCATCTGTCTCACCTCGCTTATAACTTCGCAAAAATCCAGCACATCTCACGATCAGCACACTGAGCATGGAGTACGAAGAAGAATGTATAGGACGAACAAATAATAGATTACAACATAGCTTTTGTTTGCCAGAGTGGCAGAGGATAGCGTGCAAAACATATGCCAACAAGTATGAATATCAGATCATGCACCTGAGGCTTTCGAAGGCTTCTGGCAGAATTGTAGAAGTGAGTCATGAGTGAAATAACGAACGAAGTATAAGCCGAGAACAGTGTTACTCAGCATAAACTCAATCAATAACCTAGTTTAAGTTGGAAAACCTAGACTTGAACAGTGATGTCCTCGCAACTCAGAGTTTGATATAGACGCACATTTCAAGAGATGTACTATAAGATAACAGCGATGACCATAACGAATGTATAAACGTAAAATGAAAGGCCACAAAAAAAGGTAGTGAAGCAAATCTAAGCACGTCATGTGAAAGTAACAGCTTCCTCCGGAGATTACACGCGATACAAGCGATAATTATGTGATGTGTAAGCAGGACTGAAAAGTAGAAAGAGATGAGGATTCAATAAACTAACTATGATCAAAACTCACAGAACAACGTCATTCTTCTCTGGTCTGCTTCTTTTTGATGCGAGATTGAGAACGCTGCAACTATCTGCTTTAGTATCGCTATCCTGTCACTGTTATTTAACACTTACCGTGAAAAGCTCGGCTTTAGTCATTAAAGGCTTTCCTCCTGGCTTGGAGAGCTCCGTCCTGACAGCTAAGGCCGGGTATTCTTGTGTTGCAGATTGGAGTTTTATTGAGGAGGCCTGATCTACTAACTGGTAGATATCTTGCAAAAAATTCATCGCCTGCTCCGAATCGGTGTTGACCATTACATTTACATTTGTGCTGATGACCGCAAACTTCTAAATATGGATTTTTTGCAAAAATATTCGAGGAAATCAATAAAACTAGGACTAACGCTTTCAATACTACTCCTGATCTGGCTTCGCTGTTGTTTGCGCTGTTGTGAATCGGTCACTTGCGAAGAGGACGACCTTGTCGCGGACGCATCGAATAGGAAAGCTGCCTGATCATCAGTGACAGATGGTTCGACGGAAGAACTTGATCGCTGGGCTGCTGATCCTCCAAATAGTTTTGCGGCGTGCCTGTGGATACAAGAGATCCCCGCCCTATTGTCCAGGCAATCGCAACTCCATTGGTACGGACAAACGTCACATAAGGGACAGTGAACATTTGACTCTGCACATGGACATTTTGCTTGTATGACTTCATAAGCCTCCTCCGGGTTCTTTCCTTGTACCAGCCATTTGCAGTCTCCTGTCTTCACAACCTTCTCAGGTTTTCTTTCGTAGTATTCGAGGGCCCATCTGTGGCATTTTGAAGTCTCTTGAACGCGATATGAGGCGTTTGCCAAGCGTCGGCGATCCTAGAAGGGTTTGATCACTCGTGTTTGATCAAGGTACTTACTCACCCTAATTTCAGTTGTGTCGGCGATGTCCTCCACCGCTTTTATAAGCAAGTCCACAAGAAAATCAGCACGCGAATTTGCATTCCTTTGTAGAAGGTCTTTTTTTAGGCGTAAATGCCACCTTTCAGATATCATGGTGGTATCTAACACAGCTCCCCTATTGGCGAAAGACGCCCAACTGGCAGTTCTACCTAAAAAAAAGTTTGATGGTTGTTGTAGATCCACTTTTGAATTCTTACCCAAGTAATTTTCTCTCAAATACGTGGCCATCGCTGTCTGACCCTCCACCTCTAAGAATGCTATGATCTGACCGAACTTGAGTTCGAATTCATTCAAGTCGGTAATCAGAAGAAGATCACGGAGGTCTTTGTTCAACTTCAAACGTAGGCGAGCCTGAAGGTGTGCTCAACTTTTTGGACAATATGTGCATATTTACAACCTCTACAAGCCTGGTAGTTGCCCGTTTGAAAGTCTGGTGGATGTGCCAGCGACAATAATGTAGTTTCGCGTCTGATCTCGGAAATGCCAAACGGAACGCGTTATAGAAACACGGTGCCTCGTCGGTGACAACTTGTTGAGGGGCAAAATTTGGAACCAGCTTAGCAATTTCAACAAAAAGAACGTAGACATCACTGGCAGTCATCGTTCCACTCAAAAGAAACGCTGTAAAAAATCCGCTAATATGGTATGCCTGGAAACAAAGTGGAATCCGCAGTAATCTGCCACCTGCTGGTAAACCTCTGTCTTTGTTATCGGCAACAGTGACTGTAGCGAGTTTCAAGCAATATCGCGTAACATTATGCGTGTCGTCAACTGCTATTCCGCGCCCCGAAAATCGTTTCAACCATTCAATCTGTATAGGTGTTATAATCACTGAAAAGAAGATGGTTTAGGTGCTTATAGTGCTGTTTTTTGCTTGCTTACCCATGCGGAACCCCTTTCCACTGGGATCATCACTTATATTAAGTAGCCGGATCCCGTCATTGGGATTACCTTCGGCACTTCTGAGCAGAAGGGAATTCATGTCATTCTTGTGATAATAGCCGGGCCGTAGGCCGTATTTGTAAGTGATATTCCATAAATCATTTCGATTTATGAAATACAATCTGTTTTCTTTTGCCGAAAAATCTCTCTTCAGACGATGTATCACGTAATCCATAGAATGCTCTGAAATGCAATCCAAAAATTCAAGATCGCGGAATTTACTGAAAAAGTTGCCTAAAATGGTTACTTAACCTGTCGATCGCTAAGAGATTCATTGCATAATAAAATCTTTTTCGAAGAGTTTCGGTAGACATACGACATCGGGTCAAAATCTGAGATTTCGCTAAAAGTTTGCACATAGAAATACTTCGAAACTATCATGAAGTCGCGCTTAATTCGCCTGTAATGACATTTGGGTTGCATGAAAAGCAAAAAAGGGGTTCATTAATGGGCTGTAATCATATTAGGACGTTATTGCAGCAAAAAAGCATGATATTCGTATCAACATAAGTAAAAACCCTCTATTGAGGAGATTTGCACTTTTGAGCCATGTAACATATGCCCACATGGTCCGAAAAAAATGGTTTTACATGACACAGAAAATGATGAAAATACATGAAACAAAATAAATATAAAAATAAAATGCAAATACATGAAAATACGTGAAAATACAGAAAATACATGTTCAGCTTGCGAAATACCATCCCTCTCCTACCAGGCAAACTTTCAAGAAAGTCCGTGATTTTGTCCCCTTCCCCCCTACCGCAAACCTGTCCTAAACACATGAAAAGACGCTTTTGTGCGGAGAAAGTGTGAAATCCGTGATGATGCCGATTAACTCCCTTGTGCAAAGTTTCAGCGAGATATGAGATTTCGATCCCGTTTACCGCATCTCCTCGAAAAAGGCCCTGTTATGCAAAATGAATATAATTTTCGTGACCATTAGTTCAAATAACCCATGCTATTTTTAGCAAATTCGCTTCTGCATCTCTGGTTGTGTCAAATGGATTAGTGCCTGTCTCTCCTTTCTCAATGTACTCTACAGTAATGCGTAAATCTCACCTTCAAGTAAAGATCTGACGAACTGCTCTTGTGAGGATGTTAGGCGTAGTAGCGCAGGTTCGACATTGTGTCCGGCGTGTCCAAAACATCCTTTCACCGATAGTGTGCCATCATTTTTCGCGTATACATTGACAAAACAGGAACAGGCAACAACGTCCTTTTTAGTGGACGTTGCTCTTGCGGTTGTGGTTTTTTGATATATGCCGGCACGATTACACCTGTGCATGAAAGCTTTGAAAACATTATGCAGTGCCCATTCATCTACCTTAGAGAATAAGCTTTTCCGCCTTCACAGCTTGTTCGTTTATAGAAAGTCGTGCTGGTTCTTTCACACTGGGCATCTAGCCAAACCTAAACATCGGCTGTACACGACAAAACTACAGTTGGTAGATGTAGCAAAGGGAGAGGAGTGGGAAGGTTTCAAACCAGAGGCACTCTACATTGCTCAGAAACTGTAGCTAATCTTCCATCCCCCCCACCCCTGAAAGTCCTTAATTCCCTTCCCCCTACCCACCCCTCCCCTCTCTCCACTCAAAGCCAGAGACTCTAACCCATCCTAGTGCTCATACAGGGATTTGAAGCCTTACTTTGAACTGATCGTCGTTTCCGAAGGTCAGCGCGAAGATGCTATAATCTTGCGGTTCACCATTTGCCCCGTCGCTGGTATGCATATCATCGCAATGATACGCGAGGGCCATGTAGTCTTTACAGCCTTCGCCACAAACTGGGCAATAAAGCACCGGAATATCAGCACTAGCTGACGCTTGACGGGCTACGGCTGCCCTCAACTCACTGATTTCATCATCTGAGAGTTTATGTACAACTCTCAGGTGTGAAAACAAATTCTTGCGAAGCATGAACTTCGCGCATTTTGGGCAATCCGACAGCTTCGGGGACGACGATGACATGACGAATGATGTTACCTTAGGAAGCTAGCGTGACTATCAATCAAATCTTATGTTCGGTTGGTCCTAACAGGATAACAGGTCCTAACAGGACTTTTAGTTATCCTGTTAGACCGGTTGAACAGGATCGCTTGAACTTAAAAGCCTAGCATTACTCAATGACAAACACCAGCGATTATCCATACTAATTTAGGCAAACTTGGAACTTCGTTTCCGCTATCGCTAAAAATAAGGGAAAGCTTACTTTTGCGGAGAGAATAGTCGAAGCGGCACTCAAGACGACCATAGAAGGACGACCATAAAAACACTACATGAAGCTCCAACTTCTGAAACAATCTATGCACCAAAGCAAAACCCTCAGAACAAGGAATTACTCTTGACGTCTTCTTGAGATCCGCCAAAAGCGATGGAGGCCGTTGCAAGTGAGAGTGATGACGGGCGCACAGACTGAAAACATCAATGTTGCTGTAAGCATGAGCGATAGAGAGCACATATCAGTGAGGAATTCCAACAATATTGCAGCTGATGAAGATAAGGCGAAGAACAGAAACAGTGCAGTCAACATTTCGCAACTGTGAATATGAACTTTGCATTATCGCAGTACATAAGGAAAACCCCACACGATAGTGAGAGATAAGCGAAATCGAACAATCAACACAGAAACATCCTAGTGGTAGTGGTGGTGCAGGCAGCGATATAGAATTAGTTTGGAGGAAAACAATGCAGTGTCAATGCTACCAAAGACATGTGTAGATTGTCACGAAAACCGACAATCTTGTCAATAAGAGAATCAAAATCACACAATGAATTGATTTAGTATACAAATCTACAGAGTGAATGGATCGCTGCGCACTTACAATATGATTCGCCATAAAACGTTCCAAAAGCACTGTTTCCAGGAATTTTCGTATTGCGACTCTAATCCGAAAAGCGAAATCCATAAAATCGAAACGCATTGCATGGATGGAAATGCTATCACCCAGCAGCTTATTCGGAATGACCGCATTACAAAGTCAGTCAGCTGTAAAGCCGCAAAAGCGTTTTCTATCACACGAGTTATATTTGCTATATAACGGCGTCGCTAACCCAATTCGCAATGACTTTTTTCGCTGGACGTTGGGGTCTTTCATCAATTTCTCGCGGGTTAAGGCGACTCTGACTTCACAAGAAACACACAATAATTAATGCATTCGCCAAACTTAGAGAGGAATAAAGTAGTGGTGTTCAAGCAGCGATACGAATCAGTTCCAAGGAAAACGATGCAGTGTCAATGCTACCAAACATTTATTGTCACGAAAACCGTCAATCTTGTTAAAAAGAAACCGAAAATCACATAATGGGCTGATTCAGCATACAAATCCACAGAGTCGGCTGCGCACATGACAAGCGCGACCTAATCACAAAAGCTGCGCGCGCGACGCGACCGCCCGCGCAGCCGACTCTGTAGATTTAAATGGGGCCGCCGGCCGGTTTGCGTCAGTGGCGCAACAAAATAGCACTGGGCCACAGTATTTTTTTTTCTCTATCTAGCTTTCATTCAGCTCTGTAACCTTAATATGGGGTGGTACGAATATATAACAACATATTTATTACAGCCAAAAGGTACAATGCAAAGGGACATTAAACAAACAACAAACATTGACACATTGTACACATTTGCATGAAAAATACATTCAAAACTAAAAAGCAAGTGACTTTCCATATATACGATAATATCATTTGATGCAATTGGTTCGCATATCGTTGGACAACCTTTCCGGATTGGCTAAAAGGTCAAATAATTTTGTTTTGTACTTCTGAATGCCACATTCAACCATTGATTAGCCGCATCCGATAAGCTGAAAATGAAATTAACTATTGACAATTTAACTTATACTAGAACTTACAGCTATGCATAGAGTAGCGATGTCTGTTAGCAGAGCAATATCAAAACATATGCGTTCACAGAAGATGGTTAGAACAGATGATCGTGTCGGTCCCTAGAAAATACTGGGTAATTTCAATCAAATGTTAGTCAGGGAAAACTTACATTTTTTGGAGTGCTTCGAGCAGCCGTAAGCATCAGGTTAGCAGAAATGCGGTAGTATATCACATAGTGACTTAGCAGAAACCAACAGATCAACGATCTCTAGATGAATTAGAATACTCAGCAAAGCAGGAATAGTCCACAATTCGCAGAATTGAGAATTATATAAATGAGCATTCATTGAAAGCCATATTCGTATTCACGAATAATAGTGTAATGACAGCGTTCAACCATTCATTGTAGTTCCATCATAAAAACAAGAACCCAAACGCAATGTACTGCAGGTGTCTCCTAAAAACTTGTGGACGTCTAATTTGTACTTCATTAATACGTACCCAAAAGGTGATGCGACACTTACCTAGAATTCACGTCACAGCAAATAGGCTTGAACCCACTGACGTTCGGCTTTTTCGCCATTTAAGTCAAAATTAGCAATAATATAGAAAGAAGAGGTAACGAACGGAGTTTGATCAAATCTGAAAAGAAATGAATGAAATGAACGGAATCATAATAATGGGCTACATCAACTATCATCGGACAAAGAAATAACGCAACCGATGTAGAAAACCCCAACAATAACAAAGGAAAATTAATATAGAGAAGTTTTCTGCTTAGCAGACACAACGCGCCCAATGTTTGAAATTATTTTCTTACTGTACGCACAATCTTGTGCGCTTTCCGAGCTTTTGCACAGTGGAACGGCCGTCGGCCGGCAGTATTTACAAGTCCGGTGGCCGGCCGGCATTTGGCTCCGCCCTAAATGATGGAACGGCCGCCGGCTGGAAGGCCGTCGTAGAACGGTTGCCGGCCGGTGCGAGTGTCTGAGTACTGCAATCTCAGACACTCGCACCAGCCGGCGACCGGCCGACGACGGCCTTCCGGCCGGCGGTCGTTCCATTATTTAGGGCGGGGCCAAATGCCGGCCGGCCACCGGACGAGTAAATCACACCGGCCGGCGTCCGTTCCACTGTGCAAAAGCTCGGAAAGCGCACAAAATTGCGCGTACAGTAAGAAAATAATTTCAAACATTGGACGCGTTGTGACTTTTAGGCAGTAAACTTTCCTTTATTGGTTTTCCTTTGTTATTGTTGGGGTTTTCCACTTGGGTTGCGTCACTTTCTATGTCCGAATTTGATAGTTGATGTAGCCTATTATTATGATTCCGCTCATTCCCCTCTCTTTTCAGATTTGATCAAACTCCATGGTGTTCGTTATCTTTTCTTTCTATATTTCTGCTTAATTTGACTTGAATGGCGAAAAAACCGAACGTCAATGAGTTTATGCCTAGTTGCTGTGACGTGATTTCTATGTGTCGCATCACCTTTTCGGTACGAATCAATAAAGTACAAACTAGACATAAGTTTTTCAGGAGACAGCTGCAACATACATTGTGTTCGGGTTCTTGCTTTTCTGATGGAACTACAGCGATTTCTTGATTGCTGTCAGATTAAAAGTGTTATTTGCGAGTATGGCTCCTATTGGATGCTCCATATATATATTCTTAATGCTTAGAACACTGGGTTATTCGTGTTTTCCTGAGTATTTTAAACTTATCTGGGTGTCGTTGATCTGCCGGCTGCTACTATGTTGACAAGATACTTACGGGTTCGGAAGCCATCCAATAATCCGCGTTTCTGCTAATCTTATGGTCACGGCTGCTGGACGCATTCCGAAAGATGTAAGTTCTTTTTGAATATCATTTGAAACTAGCCTTGCAGTGTTTTCAGAGACTGATACAATCCTCTGTTCTACCCGTCTGTACATGCTTATGTTTTTGGTGTTGCTTCGTTAGCAGGCATACATTATCGCAACTCTATGCATGGCATGTAAGTTCTACATGTCAGTAAAAATTGTTAATAAATTGTTTCAATGCAGGTTTTCGAAAGGTTTGCGTGACATTCAAAAGTACAGAAAATGGAACATTCTGCAATCTACCGGCGCATTCGGAATGGATGTTCAACGATATGTGGACCCGGTTTCGCCAAATGACCCTTCCGTATAGCTGAAAAAAATTCTAGCTTTGTAGCTTCAAATGTATTTCTCATGAATATGTCAATATTCTTTTTGTCAATATTTCTTTGCAATGCATCTTTTGGTTATAATAAATATGTTGTTATGGATTTGTACCACCTTGCATAGAGATTACATGAACATACATGAACATACCAGCCCGTACTGAATGAAAGCTAGAATGTAGAGAAAGAAATGCTGTGGCCCAATGCCAATTCGTTGCGCCACTGACGCATACCGGCCGGCGGCCGTACAGGTGCCGGCTGGCGGCCGTTCGAGTACCGGCTGGCGGCCGGCTGGCGACCGTTCCAGCCGAAATGTCGGTGACGGACCGGCCGGTCGTGGAACGGCCGCCGGCCGGTGCAAGTGTCTGATATGTTCTAACCATGAGGGTCCCGCAACGAATCTGCGTCTCTAACCATGGCGGAAACCGCTCCACTCCAGATTTTAAATAAGGGGTCTCGCTCCTTTTCGCCATTTTTGCGCTCCTCAAGGTGGATTTTCGGATTGTGCGCGTCGAATTACCTCAGGGAAGCGAAAAAGCTTCAGATCGAGAATTTGCCGAGACACTGCCTTTAAGCTCATTATGCAAAATGCAAGCACACGGAGTATTGATCTATCGACTATATGTACAGTAAGTATCTATTACAAAGGCGCCAAGCATGTATAGCACTTTTGTAATTAGGTAGTTAAATAACTCATTTTAGCCAAGTTTTAGTCGAATCTGAGCAGGATATTGAGGGAGCAAGTGAAATGGCCATCTTCGCACGCGATTCATCTTTTCTTTTGAAGATGTGTTAATTAACCTTGCACTCATTTCAAAGCACAGTACAAAGCACCACTTTTCTGTTGCCTATATTGAAGTCCCACTTCAAATAACCGTCAAACTATGGAATTAGGAGCCGGCCAAAAGCTCGTTTGTCTCATTTCGCTTTCAGTGGTACTCCTTGCAGCAAATATCACTCAGATTGAAGAAAATGAATTAGGTTCAAACTTTTCTTTCGAAAACCACGAGATCTAGGTTCACCCTAAGATATCGCTTCCCATATGCCACTTCGACCATTCTTTCATTGTCAGCATAACGTCAGTTTATAGATCGTGAACTGGATGTCACCCCGAGCTCTGATGTTGGCGTCTGCAAAATTGTTTCACTTATATAAGGCTGTCCTATAAGTCATTTTATATTCGAACCCCCAAACTGATATTTCTCAAGAACTAGGGCACACAATGGTGCATGTTTGTGGCAGTTTTTTTGAGTGAATAAACTACAATACCGCTCACAGAATGTGCAAAATTTCCGTGAATGTCGCAGAATTCCAGGAATTCCGCGAAATTCATGTGAATCACGCAAATTACGCAGGGTTATAACTTCTTTCCGAATGAGTACATTCGAAATCCGAAAACAGCATTGTATTCAGCTCATCAAGGCGAATCTTTTGGTATACAGGTTGTGTCCAATACCTTGTTTTCAATAATCTTGAATTTGCACGCGGACTCCTCTTCGCATGGTGGTAACGCAACGAGCATCACACTAGGAGACTGCCGTGGACACCGTTCGATAGTACTCTTTCACTAGATTATCGTGCGCTATACAGCAGCCGAAGACTCTCTTTCAAAAGAGATAGAAGGGCTGATAAACTCTGGAAAAATCAAGCTGTTCCATGTTCTACTAGCCGTAACTTCCTTCAGAATGAACATTTTCGAAATCCAAAAGCGGCATTGTGTTCATCTCGTCAAGTCGAATCTTACTGTGTACAGCTTGCCCTTGAAATTCCGTTTCCAATTTTTAAAAATTTTCTGCGCGCGTATATTCACAAGGTCGCAACGCACCGCACATCAAACATAAAAGATTCCAATAAGCACTGTTGGATTGCGCTGCTTTCGCAGATTATCGAGCGCTAAAAAGCAACCGAAGAATCTTCTTGAAAAAAGATAGAAGAGCTGGTGAATTCGGGAAAAATCGCGTTGTCTCAAATTTTGCCCACCGTGACCCTAAAATGAGAAGCTCTACTGCTAAGCAGATGTGATTTTCGTAATCAGCAGGTCAGATAACCTCTATGAGCAAGTTTTCAAAGAAGTTCGGGTGATTTGATTTTTTCTCGTTCTACGCCCTGAAGCTCGCCGATAAGTTTTGGTCAAAATGTCGATGATCTCGGATTGTAAGGAAACTTCGCTCAAAGAGGTTTTCGAACACGCTGTTTACGATAATCGTCTTTGGCGCGGAGCACAGAGTTTTCTAGCAGAGATATGGTGAAGGAACTTTAGCTAAGCCACTGAAGTTCGTAGATTCGCCTGCATTTTTCAAGCACCTCTTAGAAAATCTGCTTCCTTGCCTCTACAGGTTAAACTCACTAGAAAGCGTGCTATTTAACGGTGCATTCCGGTTTCAATCTGTAGCAATCGCCGAATTACGGGCCTACGAAATCACGTCCTCATGAGTTTTGCCCAAAATGTAAAGATCGCCTGCTTCGCAGAAATTCCACCTAATTGACTGTAAGACACTGTGCCCGCTAATTTTATGTTCAACTCGAAAGATCCTTGAGATCTTATTGTATTGGATCTGGTGGTTGTGTGTGCCTGAGCCGTTAGGTGAATATCGAAGCAGATTCGTGGCTAGAGCTCAGATCTATCTAATTCTTCCAGTACAGCAGGATGATTCCTTGAGCGAAGTGAACACAAAATTAGCGACCACAGTCAGTCACAGTCATTTAGGTGGAATTTCTACGAAGCAGGCGATCTTTACATTTTGGGCAAAACTCGTGAGGACGTGATTTCGTAGGCCCGTAATTCGGCGATTTCTACAGATTGAAACCGGATGCATGCACCGTTAAATAGCACGCTTTCTAGTGAGTTTAACCTGTAGAGGCAAGCAAGCAGATTTTCTAAGAGGTGCTTGAAAAATGCAGGCGAATCTACGAACTTCAGTGGCTTAGCTAAAGTTCCTTCACCATATCTCTGCTAGAAAACTCTGTGCTCCGCGCCAAAGACGATTATCGTAAACAGCGTGTTCGAAAACCTCTTTGAGCGAAGTTTCCTTACAATCCGAGATCATCGACATTTTGACCAAAACTCATCGGCGAGCTTCAGGGCGTAGAACGAGAAAAAATCAAATCACCCGAACTTCTTTGAAAACTTGCTCATAGAGGTTATCTGACCTGCTGATTACGAAAATCACATCTGCTTAGCAGTAGAGCTTCTCATTTTAGGGACACGGTGGGCAAAATTTGAGACAACGCGATTTTTCCAGAATTCACCAGCTCTTCTATCTTTTTTCAGAAGATTCTTTGGTTGCTTTTTAGCGCTCGATAATCTGCGAAAGCAGCGCAATCCAATAGTGCTTATTGGAGTCTTTTATGTTTGATGTGCGGTGCGTTGCGACCTTGTGAATATACGCGCGCAGAAAATTTTTAAAAATTGGAAACGGAATTTCAAGGGCAAGCTGTACACAGTAA